ATGATGGCTATATGTACAGACACATCTGTGTCTGTACATAAAAATAAATAAATAAAACGAAAGGGTTTTGTGGTTTCTACCTCGCGTAGCAACAAAAGTAGAAGTCAATACCATCGTCACAAATAGTATTTCATTTCAATAATTCATAATAATAGATCGGCCAGTGCTTGTTTCCCACTATGTAAACAGGATCATTAAAGCTTTTAATTTTTTAACATACTATAATAACATATTGATTCCGAATACATTTACGATTTTATTGCAATATATCCCAGGCAACAGCAAAGTTAACGCATTTTAACGTTTCAATTTCTAAATCAAAATGGAATAGTGTAGCTTCTGAATTTCTCCGTCACTTATGCTCATTTTTTGTTTATTTGTGTCGGCATTATATAATGACTGCAGCTGTGAACTCCTCATTTGCTCTATTATACCATCCACAAATTGTTGGACAGTGATTCAACGAAGCGTTACTCGGGCGTAGTTAAGACGGTCACGCTGTCTTGGTGCATCGGGCGTAAACAGGGAGGGTAAACCTGGCGCACGGACGTCAGGCGTTGCGGTTTACGATAGTCGCATCCGAGCAAATTTACGCCTCGTTGGTGCAACCTGGCCCTGCTGAGCACACAAGGTTTAATTTCCGCAAGAAAGAAAAACAAGCCCAGTATGTGATTTTCTGATCCGCGGATCAAATATGGCGGACACTACATGTACATGAAAGAAAAGCTGACTAATCCGCTGATGGTCTCTCCGCCTCCACAAGCGCCACTAAACGGGTTAAATCACGTCTCCGAGGATTAATTGCTAGACCCCTGCAGGGACGGCGCGTGTGGAGGCGGCAAGCATTTTAGACCCCATTCCCAGAGATTAGATCGACCTTACTCCCTGGGGGTTCACGCTAAATAGCGGTCAGCCGAGCGGGCACGAAAGTTAATTACCCCCTTACAGTTTGTAGTAGGCGGGACGGACATTTAAGCCGGATTATCTGACAGTAATCTAGTGAGACTCCCCACGGGGATAGATCGATCTAAAATCTATGGGAATGAGCCCTTAGAGGGTCGTCATATTGGATCCGCCGATCTGTTTGTCCGCTGGTCTGAATGCGCTCTAATTATTATAATTATTATACACATGACAATACGGTACACGAAAAACAAAACCCCTCCATATATCCAATCTACTCCGCAATATCTGGCACAACAAGCTTCACTAACGTCTATCAGTGAAATGAAACTGTTCTACACGTCTATCATTGAGTCTCACGAGGTCAGAAAGTCTCAATCAAAAGGCAGTAAGTTTAGTTATCACACCGACTGTGCTCCAAACCTTAAACAACTGGTATCAGTAACATGTACGTAAGTAAAGTTAATTTATCCAGTGGACTCCACACTATCCAATAAAGGATTAGTAAAACAATCTATGTTAATCATAAGGAGTACAGGAGGAGACAGGGTTGTGTCGGAAGTACCAATACGCGTCACACAGTAACCCATTGGATCCCCCGGGCCTGCACGAGGGAAGGGGGGAGGGGAGAGAGAAAGGGGGCAGGGTCAATAACCTCCCTCCTCAAGGAAATCCCAGGACCCACCCGTGTTCTAGATAATCTAAGAACTTGTTTCTTTGAATCACAACCTGTGTCACAGGAATGCAAGTGAATATCATTGTCTTGTGGCTTATTACTGATTTGTTTAACAAGACGTGATTAGTAGAAACTGAGCTGAAATTTAAGCCCGAAATTGCCACTCATTTAGTCAATTTTTAAGCTGTTGTAGGACACATTGTGTCTGTACATAAAAAGATAACAAAATATTGAAAATGACATCCAACTACTATTAGAAAAGCAATTACATGTAGTTATTAATTTATTTCAAATAGAATGACCCATGGGATAAATCAAACATTCAGTGGATCAGCTGCTGCCACGGAGAATCAACAAGTATCAAATTCTTATTTCTTATATCTCTGACTAATTTTAGATCGCTTTCAAAAGCATATCACTGCACTTGATGTTACAGTTTGTATTATTCATAAACCCATTCAAAGTATGACTTATGTAAAACAATGCTTGGAAACGCCAAGTTACTATGCTTATAGAGTTGCACTGTCTAATTAATTAGCTTTTGTTTAATCATCTATCACGTTTTAGTTTGAAAAACCACATCCTTAATTCAAAGAATTTTCACTATGGAATGAATGAAAATAATATCAAAATATCCAAAAACATTGGGGACTTTGTCTTTAAGATACATTTCAAATACGCAGTTAAAAGAGCATAAATTGTCCTAAATATTTTTGTGAGAAGTACAACATCACATCTTGTCATCTAAGAAAAATCAATAGACGTATGATAATTATCACAGTTGCTGTATAATTTACCTCCTCATATCTGGTAAATAAACTGGGAGGGGGGGGGATGAATTCAGCCTTTCTTGACTGCTGTGCCATCTAAGGTGCAGTTGAAACACCTAGATGCAACACTTGATATTACACGGACAAACTTTTTGTATAATGACAAGTTTCACATTTTCTGCTTGACACCCCTTCCCCATTACAGTGAATATGGCAACAGAAAAGAAAAACTCTGGACAAACACTTGACTGACATAAAGCTAAGACAATATGAAAATTGGTCTTTTCTTGACTAGTGGCTCTTCCTATAGAGTAGTAGAGGTAACAGGATGGATCCCATGTACTAGCACAGTGGGTGGCAAATCGTCTGTCAATATGGCCAACTGTTTTAAATACTTGGTATACAACGACTCTTTCTTGGGAGTTCTCGGCAGGTATAAAAATGTCACTGCCGTATTCCCTTGGTTGCTACTATGCTGTTTGATAAGTTCGTTTAATTTCACTACATACTCGTCTGACACTACAGTATAATCTGTGCTTAATTTCGTTTCCTCCGCACTCTGCTGCGAGGTAGCATGATGAATTACAGCATCCGTCCATGGAATGGCTCGAATCTGTCCCAGAATCCTTAGCTGTTTCAAGATCTCTTCCAGCTTCTTCTGCTTTCTCTCTGTATCAGGGCCTTCACGTTCAACACAGAGAAATATTCGCAAGGTGGTCTTGGATTTCCAACCAGAAACCATGTTGAGAATGCAAGCAAGCTGTAGAATGAAAAGGCAACTCATGTCTAGGTAGCCCGCTGTTCTTGGGTTGAACATATTAACTGGCCAAACATCAATGAATTTGCGATTTTTGGACTTAATAATGGCCTCCTTGTCTAACTGTTGGAAGTGACGACAAATGAAGATGTTTTTGGACATTTTCAGGGTGTCAGCAATCAATTTAACATACTCCTCTGCAACCAGGGGCTTCCTGTCTCCTATTCCGCGAAGAGGAGGAAAAATCTCTGCCACTGGGTCAGTACTGCCTTCTTCTGCGCTGCCGTAAAATGTTCTGGTTCTTCGTCTGCGGTGCACAAGGGTGTCCATAGGAACGCTATCATCGTAGAAACCAAGACAAATGGTATTTGGCTTCATTCCCCCTAACCCTGAAATGTACACCAGATGGCGCATTCCCTCGCGGACTGACTCTGCCACGGTCATTTCAGCAAAGGCCTTGACCTTGAGACTGTCAATCAGGGCCAACCAGCCGGGATATTCCTGCTGAACCTCATCATCTTTCTGCTGGTCAAATTCTCCAACTTTTACATGTCCAAGAACATATAGGCCACCTTTCTTTAAGTCGTTGACAAAATGGATCAGGTTTATGCAAGAGCGGGGGTTTGCAACCAGAAGCAGGATTTGAGGGCGCCAAAATTTCACATGTTCCTTGCGACTGTCCAACAGCAATAAGTACTTGCGCACCTGAAAAACCAAAATCAAAGACTCACATTAACACACAGTAAACACTTCAAAGCATATAAATAAATAAATAAGTAAATAAATAAATAAATAAATAACAATTCTCATAAGTTGATAAAGTCTTGATATAATATTACAATAACTATTGGACTATTCAAGCATATTTTATGCTGTGTATGGACTCACCTAAGGGAATATGCTGTGTATGAACTCACCTGATGGTATATCCTGTGTATAGACTCACCTGATGGAAAATCAGCGCCTGACTAATGGATCCCCAGGATGTCGGCCATGTTCTCAGATGCAACACCATCACTAACAACATCAGTATGATAACTGCCACTGCTGCAAACACTGCGTTGATCAGAAAACACATGGCAAGGCATCCCAGCATGCCCAGTAAAGATGTCCACCAGAAGAAGTACTTGAACGTGGGTCTGAAGTTAGGCGCAGATGCCAACTCTAAGGCAAGACAAGCCAAATTGGTGGCTGCGTAGGACAAGAGGAAAAAGACGGACACCAGAGGGGCGATTGCATTCAAGGAACCAATCAGAAGCACCAACTGGAAAATACGGAAATATGTGGAACCAATCAAAAACCAGTAACTGTTGGAAACTGGGGTTTGTCTCCTTTGAAATTTTAGTACTGTTGCTAAATGATAACTTATTATTAGTTTTTTTAATTGTTCATGTGACGTAAATATTCTACTGCCAATGTTTTTTAATAAATTTAAACATTATGTAAGATGCACTGAAATTTTTCTGGAAAGTGCCGTAAAATAATTCATTAGTGCTAAGTACTTTTTGGAACAGTACTATATTATGAAACATGGTTTGTACTAATTTTTACTTAAAAGATCCAAATATTTCTTTCAACATATCTATCCTAATCACTAACAAACCTTCTTAAGTAGCAATATACTAAACACATTCTATGAAAGCAGTGAAAAACGATGTAAAATATCTTGACAATTTTTAAGTTCAATGTACTCTCAATCGGGTACCAATCATTATGTGCCAATCTACGTTGCCTACCTGAACTAATAGCCAGGAGATAATGACAGCTACCCAAGGGTTCCCAGATCTAGTGACTATAGTGGCCGGCTTCAACAAGAACCCTAAAACATATATAATCACATCAATTTAATGTGTGCATTACACTTATGTATAACAGCAAAATAAATAAATAAACAAATAAAAAGACATTTCCTAGAAATTTCAATACTTTACTCTTTCTCATTAAGTATAACCCCCCACACAAACACAAAAAAAAAAACCTGGAGGAAGATTATGATCTAGAAACCTATTGCGATGCTGTAAATTCATGTAGAAGATGTCAGAACTTACAAAACAACTCGTCTCTTGCCAGGGCTTCCAGAACTCTGGACGCTCCAATCAGGTTACCGAGAGCAGCAGACAGAGTGGCGGCAAATATGCCAATGATTACAAATGGTGCCCAGATGTTCACTTCCTGTAGGTAGCCATAATTATTCCTCAAAAGGTCCCTAGAAATTGGACAAAGAATTTTGGTGAAATTTGAGACACTTGGTAGTTCATTTCGACAGACTATGGGGAAAAAGGAAGTGTCCTAAAAATGTTCAAAAGTCTTAGGAATGCAACTAAATTTTAATTTTAATAAATATTGACAAAATTTTCCTAAAAATCTGACAAAGTTCTCTAAAAATTGAGTAAAGAATTATTTCTGTCAATCATTTAAATAATTACCCTGAGGCAGTGAATGCAGTGATGAAGGCAAGGATGATGTAAGTGGTGAAGGTAAAGCTGACAGCTCCTAGAGTTCCACGGGGTATAGATCTACTGGGGTCTTTCAGTTCACCTATGGAATACATGAATAAAGAGAACAAGTTAATCCACAGATCAAATACGGCGCCACTCACTTGAAAGCGTGCTGAGATTCTATTGCCCTGCCCCAGCTGGGACGGTGTGCATTGGAGGCAGGAAGCAATTGTCAACTGTGCGCAACATTTGATACGCAGTCTAGTTAATCTGTAGATCAAAGACTTCACTTGTGGTTCAAGCTAAACTTTTCACTCCATTTTAAGGGACTGCTTTGGACTTCTCATAAACAAAAGTAGACAACAATTTTGTTTTAAAAGTCAAGGTCAAATCCGGGGCTTAAAATTCTTTGTGTGAAATCAGCCCCAGAAGCTCTGAGTAAGCAAGATACACGTGCACACAAACACACGCACACACACACACACACACACACACACACACACACACACACACAAGCACACCTTTACCCACCTGACATATTTGAACCATTCATGATTCCTGTGACACTACTAAACAGTACAGCAAACACAATGGCAAAGTTCTGAATCACCTTAGGGTTGGTGTAGTCAGCAGTGTACTTGCCTGAAAATGAAGAAGACCAATCCTTCAGCAAAAAATAAATAAAATAAAAAAAAAATAAATAAATAAATAAATTAATTAATTAATTAATTAATTAATTAAAAATAAGTTATATAAGAAGCAAAACTTCTTGGTCTGCCAACTTAGGAATAGCACCCTGCAACACTGAAAACAACAACAATATTGAAGTTGGACAAGTAAAATTTTGGTAAATTTCTTGTGTTACTGATAACTGTTTTATCTCCTTGAGTCTAGAAGATGTTTTGGGTTGGTACCAACACGGTATTCTGACTGTAATAAGTACCCTGTTGACTCAAAGAGACAAGTAGGCTAAAACATTTAAGCACAGAGGGAGATAGAGAGTGGCCATGGTCACAAACAGTTGATCTGCAGACTATCTAGTCCATGGATCAAATATGGTGCGACCCACTTGCAGAAAGCTTGTCAAGATTAAATTGCTCTGCCTCTGCTGGGAGCATGGGCATGGGAGGCAGGAATCCATTGTCAAGTGTATGCCATATTTGATCCACATACTGGTTAGTCTGCGAATCAACTTGTTATGAATGAGGCCAGTGTCTTAATTGAAGGCATGGGCTGAGTGTATCAAGTGTCATTCACATAGAAAAAAAATCAGTCCATTTGTACTGACCAGTATAAGATGTTGATGTTTACATTACCTGTGGAACTTGTGGAACTCACCAAATAAATTCTCCATGAAAGTGTGAATACTGTATCCAGTATAATTGTAAAAGACGGTGGTCACATTTTCAGTGACATTGCTTACATCAGGATAAACCAGCGTATTGGTCCGTGGTATAGGAATGGGTATGGGGAGTTCCGAGGCTTGTTTCACAAATGTGCTGATAATAACCATCAAAGTACACAAAACTACAACCTAAAAAGAAAAAGGAACTATTTTTCTGTACTCTGAAGGCATTGCTCAAATAAACAAACAAACAAACAAACAAACAAAATAAATAAATAAATAAATAAATAAATAAATAAATAAATAAATAAATGTGAGATTTCTCTTTCTGTTTGAACATGATGTACTGTGATATGACGTGATGTGGTATGAGGTGATGTGATATCAGATAATATGATATCACTGGTTGGACTTCAAATCAAATCATGACTTTAGGACCACAAATATAGACTAATATGTATATTATACAGAGTTTGTTCGCCTCAGTGTTGGCCAAACTCCCAGACAAGTTGCGTCATTACCAATGTGACATTATTTATTTATAAAATATTCATAGATTACTATGGGATTTCTACCATGGCCCATAGGAGCCTATGCATGCGAAAACAACATGCACCTCGTCTATTTCATATGCTATTAATCCCTACAGCAGCGAAATTGACAAGACCTATGTTGCCTTTGTCTTTTACTACAGAGCTTTGAGCTCCAAAAATGACATGACTGAGTCTGTTTCGCCACAAGATTGACATGTTACGTTTGTCTCTTACTGCACATGGATCTTTGAGCTTCAAATGGCTATGTTATAAAAGGCAATCTTGCATTTAGGGAGCCAGAAAGTTACAAAATAAGCATGACTATATGTCAATTTCGTGTTTTAGACAAATGCATCATGGGTCTGGTCAATTTCCTGTCTATGGGCCTCAGTGAATGACGAACAAGACATGACCATGTGAATTTCGAGTTTTATAACATAGCCATTTCAAGCTCAAAGAGGCTAAGGGTTGTGTCAATCTCGCATCTATGCAGTTCAGTAATTGGCCAAACAGACTCAGTCATGTCATTTTCGGGTCTCAAAGCTCTGTAGTAAAAGATGAACGTGGCATAGGCCGTGTCAGTTCCGCTGATACAGGGCTTAATAACATACGAAATAGATGCAGTGCATGTTGTTTTCGTATGTTAAGGGGCATCTAAAAGACGCACGCGTAGGCTCCTATGGGCCATGGTAGATTTCAATTTCTTACCACAGGAAGTCTCTCTTATCCCTCTTTAACCCCACCCGTTACCAAAGTTAATGAGATCAAGAGCTTAATGTGAATATTGGCTCTGAACAAGACTTACCATCAAAATAAACAAGCTCGTCCTGGCAAACATAGCTCCCCCTATCATGCAGACAATGAGGCAAAAAATCAGCACCACAGTAGCGTAGAGATAGGAGTATCCCTTGAAGCTGGCATTAATGTCGTCTTCAGGAAGAGGTGGATCAAGATTAAGGGTTCCTAATATATCGAAAAGAACACTTTGGTGTTAAAAATGAAAATGAAAATGTAAAATTTAACAGAATAAGAAGAATTTAAGAGTGCTTATTCATATGCTGGGGAAATGTAATTCAAGGCTATCCAGACAGATATTTCCACTTTACCATCCAGTCTACCAATGTAAAGAATAAGTCAAAGCAGAGAATGTGTAAACATACAAAACAACTCCGTAGGAAAAATTTTAATCTGGTACAGCATTACCTTTTATCAATGATGAGGTATATATCATTGTTGCTTATTATTATTTATAAATGCTAAATTTTATGACCCCATTTGTCACTTTTTTGTCTAAATTTGGTGCAGGTACATAATGTCATATATGTAGAAATACACATAAAATTCAAACAAAATTGATCTTTTATTCCAATATTTGTTTATTTATCTTTCATTCAATCATTTAATATTCAAACTTTGCACCAACTTTTTTTCTTTACTCTTTGACTTTTGGTGACTTCCAAAATCTGTAAAAAATGACGACAAAGGTGCCTTTCTTTTAGTAATACAAGCCATCTTGTTCAGCAATCACTACCTCCAGGTCCAAAATTGGACAGCAAGCCCTCCACAAACCCAGCCACGTACAAGGCAGCTGAGAAAACATTGGCAAAAAAGAAGAGGAGTCCTATGGCCCCTCCAAACTCTGGTCCCAGTGCACGGCTGATCATGTCTGGGAGAGTTGTTAAGGTCATAAAAGGTCAAGTGCTTCCCTAAGTGAAGGGAAAATTTCACCTTACTTGGAAGGACAGGTAAATTTGCAGTTGTTAAGTTATGATTGAAATAATAGGTTTTTTTTTCCTAATCAACTCTGAATCTATGTCGACGTAGAAGCATAAATGTATTTTCTGCCAAAAAAATGTTGCAAGCCAGAAACAATACAAAACATCTTTGAATTTAACAAAAATCATTGTTGGTGGCTTAATCATTAGTCGAAAATAAATGCATCAAATTTTTTCAAGTTAAAGATGCATACAAAGTCAATTTTTTGTCACAAAAACCAACCAAATGCCAGCATATAGTTTCAAGTAGTATAACTAAGAGAATTACCAAAAGGCATTGTTTAATTTTACCCGAAAATGATGTTTGAACAGATTTTTCTGCTGGCATTCTAAGCTGTATGTCAATGGGGCAGGAAAGTAGGTCACGGAAGTATGTTAAATTTACAACCATAAATTTAAAGAAAGGAGCAGTCTAAAGGTCTTTTATGGCTGATCGAGTGATCTATTCAGTTTATCCCTTGGCATGTCGAATTTATTTGAGTCATATAAGAATCTAGTAGAAGTGGTTTACATGTGTTACTCGGAATCCACACTCCACCGATGCTCGGTTCGTATGTACCTTTAAGGTTTTAAAACAGATTCAGATTGTTAAAGAAAGTCATATACCACAGGTAATTTTGTATCAACAATTTATCAAAATAAATTCAATTTTACAAAAACCAAAATGCTGAACATGTAGCTATGATCATCATTAACGTATTGTCATATACAAGTCACTTCAGTGACAGCTCTCATGAAAGGATACAGTAGGCTCCGCCCCCTTCTATAGCACCATTGGTTGAAATTGCACAGATTGACAGCACAGTGAGCAGCAGGATGGTGTAAGCTAAGACGAACATCAATAAGGTCTGCAGCATTCCTGCTTCACCCACAACAAAACCTGAGAACATGGCAAAAACAAGTGGCTATTTATTAAAATGTTTATGAGGTATACATCTTGTAAAAGGATATAAAAAAGGGACTAAAGGTAGTTCTCTGTGAAAAAAAAAAAAAAAAAAAACTTTGCATGACTGTTTAAGATTTTTTTTTTGGTTTTATCTTTTATTAGGCTTAAGCCCCAAAAGTGATTTTGGACATTTTTGAAACAGTTCCCAGAATCTACAAACAACTATCATCCTGAAGCAAGTACAGGCAAAAAACAGTTTGTGGTAAGCTGCAGAACAAGTTTATAAAAATTTTACAGGCACCATTTCAACTTTACTGGTACCAGTGTCCATGTCATAGACCATGATTCATCAGTACAGTAGTTAGTGTTGTATTGCTGGGATATATTCTGATAAAGTAAAGGTCAAAGCCTGCATAATGCCAGTTCTGCCAACATCACACCATATGACTTTAACCTAAAACCAATCTAATCGCCAACAACATACAAACCGAACATTTCAGATAGCCCCAACATGTTGATCACATGTTTGTCCCTTTCTATGCACATGTATTGAGCAGTAAAGTTAATATTGAGAGTCATATTGGCAATTTAAATTGATTATTTTTTAATGCCATCCCAAAATGGCAACAAAAGAAAACAGAATGAAAAAAAATAAATAAAAGTGTGGGTAGAAAAAATTGATTCAAATTAGGAATTTTATAGTTATGTCAATACCTGTATCAAATCACTGGTATCATCCAGTGATTCCACCCCCCTCACATTCCCCATGCAAATATCAAAGATGTCAGGACCCCTTCTTTTAATCCCAATTTGCAAATATATTACTGATAAATACAGAAAACAAAGCACACACCATCCCATTCCCCCCCCCACTCCCCCAGCAAATACATTTCACTCAAAAATTCCTTGTCTTAAGTTTAACCTTAAAAGCTTTTCTGATAACCCTGATGGCTATGACTCATTCACCAGCTTTGCATTTATTATTTAAAATCATGTGATGACATGTCACAATGACTCACAGATATAAATTAATATTTTTAAAAAATTTAAATATAAAGAAAAATAGGATTTATATCATAACATATAAATAAAAAGAAAAAATCAGATTCAAATTGATATTTATGGTAAGAAAAGAACTGAAACACTGAAACCAAGGAAGAATTATCATTATGTTATCAAATAAAGAAACACAATAAGTATTTAGGAAAAAATTTTCAGTGCCTTTTAACACTCTTTTCTCCATCACAAATTCATAACCATTCACAGATTCATCAATGAAAACCATAAACCCATTTTTCAGATCGAAATCAACCTGGAAAATTTCCTTCTCTTAGCTAACTGCTATCATTTCTCTTTTATTACTCTAAAACTACGTGATATATTCTCACACTTGTGTTTTTCTTTAAGTTCTCCAATTTCTGGTCAATTTCATAGCTCTACCCAGCAAATCTACAGTATAGCCAAGCTCGATACATCTTTTTCACTTTTTGTTTGTCCACATAGTTTTTCTTGAGGATGAATATTTCAATTTTGGACTGTGTCAGAATCTGTTTTTGGAAGTTATATTCATGCATAACTGATATCGATACTACCTTCTGTGTATACTATTTCTCATAACATATTTTCAGAAGTAAATTTAATGGCATCATTATCAGTCCTTTGTCAACCTTTTTCTCACGATTGTTATTGGTCATGCACTATGGAGTCAACAACTGAAAACTAGTCACGTGCTACATTCTTGATCGTTTTTTATGATCACTATCAGTCACTTACAGGTTAACTTTTTTTTATAACTACGAGGTCAAAAGATGTTTGGCACCTGCTCTACGCCTGCTAATTTTTCTTGATGATTAATCATCACATAGAAGTGAACAGCCCTATAATACCAGCTCTATGCTTGGATACCTTTCTCCCAAATCAGTATTAAGGGTTACAAGGAGCACAAATATTGGTAGACAAAGCTTGGTGACAATGGCTCTAATTTACTTCCTGATAAAATCCACGGCAGTCGACTAGTTGTCCATTTGAACAAAATACACATTAGTATAAAATGTTGGCTATGTGTTTCTGCTATCATGCCTGTGGAATATTTCCTTTGTTTCTAGGACAAGTGGCACTGGTTTATCTGGGATCAATGTAGTCAACAAAAAATTTGGTCTAAAAGATCTGGTGAAATAAGCCTGTATTGCATAATATATTTCACCTGGACACTGTGACCTAAGCTCACCTTTTACAGGCTTACATAAGAGCAAACACCTAACAGTATAAACAAACTGAATATCAGCGTTGGTCAAATGTCTTGTGTGTGTGTGTGTGTGTGCATGGGTGTGCCTGCATGCATGCGTGGACTGTATATGAACTTCGTGCTCTCTCGTTAAATGATTAAAACCCATGCTCTGTGTTGTTCAGTAAAAGTACCCTGCTATACTTAGGCCCAGTAAAGAACACAACCCTTGGTACACTTAGTTTGATCACATAGTAAATAAGTTACTGAACACAAGCTGATATTTTTAACTACTAAGTTTACATCCAATTTGGTTGGAGGCCTTCATCAGAGTGATGTCAATTGATATTGGTATCATAAAAAATTGAAAAGAGCATTTATATGAGAGACATATAATATTTGGTTTTAACAATAGTTGTCTTTATGGCACTTGCTTTAATAAAATCAGTTCTTATCTACTTCTTTCCCCCTGATAAACGGGAGTCAAATTGCACAAATAATTTACTCTATTTTGGTGTGTATGTATACGTGCATGTGTGTGTGTGTGTGTGTGTGTGCGCGCGCGCACATGTGTGCGTGTGCATGTGGCAGTGCATATGTACATTTTTTTGTACATGTCAACTACCTGGACGGAAAGTGGAAAAATGATTTGTAGATACAGTACATTACATCAATAACATTTAAGTTGGTGAGGGGGGTCTAGGCAACATTCATTAATGGGGGGGGGTCAGTTCCATCTAAACATGTTGGAGAAGAACCAGGCACACCACCATGCACCCCTTGCTTTGAGAATGTGTGTGTGTGTGTGTGTGTGTGTGTGTACATGCATGTGAGAGCGTGTGTGTGTGTGGAGGGGGGGGGAGAGTTCACATCACTTCCCTGAAGACAGCCTTGTCAGTTTAATCTTAAGAAAATTCCAGAAAAGCAAAGTGCCTCTTCTGTCTCAAACTCAAAACGCCATGCATTTAAATATGCTGGTACCTCAACAGATTAATCACTGCTTGTAAATTAATATATAATGACACAAATCAAGATATATAATATACTATAATCACGTGAAGCACGACTGCGCACACAATGAAAGAACATTTATAGTGTGCTCATGACATTAACCTACCTAATCGCAAAAACAAGACTACACTAAACATGGACAAAGCCACGGGGCAGAAGACTCCCATGAAAGTATTCAGCGTCCGTCGACTTTTTCCGTCTGCCGACTCCGCCCTCGCCCCCTCAATGCCGACATCGGGAGCATCCTGATAAAAGCCGCTCAAACTCCGCTGAATCAGGTTAGCTATGTGAGGTGCATCTTCACCCAGTCCGTGATCAGCCAGTAGATTCTGATCCTCTTTAATTACTCGCCTTAATCGGGCTTCTGATTCAGTTTGAGTCGATCGCCTTCGCGGCATCGAACTCGGCGAGGACACCAGCTTCACCTTGTCATCCATTTCTGCGTCATTCGAACTCGATCCTCGCCAAAAATCCTCCACTACGAGAGGCGCTGTGTCGTCACCTGGATCGGAGTTAACTGACTCTAGGTTCCGCCCTCGACGAAGCGTATTACTAAATGCCATTGTATTAATTTCTACAGCGCATGACCTGACAAAATAGCATGTTTAGAAATGCTGGTAGGCCAAACAAAACGTCATGTGCTAAAGAGCAGGCAGCCTCGTTCTCAGTGCAGGTTAAAGGTCAACTTTCAAGACAAGACAGCTGATGTGCGGGAAGAAAGATTTGTTGGGAGAAGCAGTGAAAATATTGAAACTGACTCCTATGTTTTACTTCGTGGACGGATAATGAAATGAATAATTAAACTGAAAAATAGGTGATAAGAATTTATGGGGAATTCAATATATTTAGAAGGGAAAAGCTTGTTGTTAATTAATTAATTATATTAATTATTATATTAATTAATTAATTTGTTTGTTTGTTTGTTTGTTCTATTATTATTACGTAGATTGAATAAGCAACTCGGTCTGCTTACTGAAATAATTCCACAATGTATGGAGACAATCCAATCATTAAACTTATTTATATATATATGCTATAAAGTATCACGTTGTACTCTCAATGGCAAGTCTAGGGCTCCAGCATGTAATCTGCATAAACTACACGCAATATAGCCTATAGATATGTAAATACAGCAGTATAGCTACATGTATGTATACTGGTAGGTCTATATGTATGTGTAGTTCATGCCTATAAGGACGAGTGCTACTGCCCTGTTTATTATCAAAATGCTCGTATCTAATCTCCTTCATGATGCCTTTGGTCTCTCTCGAGTTTCTTCTGTCGTAACCCGCTTAAATTGTGTATACAGAATTAATTATTGATTGGCAAAGGGTGCCAAATTCTCATTTATGAATTAATACAATAAAGACTCATTAATAGAAATTAAAAAGATGGTTGCAAAGGCAAATGGCATATGCAGTATGATTGGGCCANGAATATAAAAGGTCAAATGATTCATTGTGTGAAAAGACGTTTTTGTTTTAATTAGAAGGATGTTCGAGTTTTAAAGCTTTGGTTTACAAAATACAGCTGTTTTTTCTATGCAACTCTAAATAAATGTCATAAAAAAGTGTTAAAGATACATTCTTTAAAAACGTGTTGCAAAACAGAAGCAAAATTATGTACATTACTAATTTTTAAATATCATCAAAATGCATCAAATATGAAATTAAAAAATTTGTTAAGGTAAGTCACATAACCACATATAAATATGTTAAAAAGTCAGCAAGTTGGGTTACCAACGTTGGTCCAATAACGTCCAAATGACCTGGAGACATTAGAAATTAAGATGTATCTCTGTTCTCAGGGTCCGCTACACAAAATAACTGAAGCTCGGAATTAAACTGGTCTTAATACTGTATTTAGTCAAGAAATTTGACCCAGTTCAGTTCAAGTCACATCTACGATAGTAGTCACCTTTGATAACATGAAAATTTTTCTGAGATTAAAGTCACGTTTTTCTTGTTAACTAACAGGGTTTGACATTTCATTTGACTACAGGTGTACTATCGATTTATCTCGGGTCAAAGTAGACAAAATCTGGATCTGAAAGTTTAAACTAGTACGAAAAAAACGCGTTTATTCATCCTAAGTTTAAACCAGTTAAATATTGTGACCATGACTTTCTCCGGTTGTGAATGCATGCACGGTCTGTGTTGCATAGAAAGACGAGACATCAACTCACACTCTGTACCCTGCCTTTCGTAGTGACCATAATTGTACATTGGAGTGTCTATTTTAGTCTAAAGACCAAAGTGCTAACAGTTGGACAATGGAACAAAATCGATAATCACGTAAATAAATAATCTATTTAAAAGATATGTTATGTAAATAAAGGGTCTCATATTGTCAGAGGTCCTCGCCAACTCTGAGGGCACATTTACGTAAGTTCAACTTGCACGGTATGATCATGGTTCATAAATTTAGCACTTCTACACAGAGACAGCCTGCTTTCAGATATTTTCAGATAAAATGGGATTAAAAATAGGAATAAAAATGATGTGAATCAATGATGGCCGGTGGGGGAGGGGGGGTCTGTTGTGCTTTTCAGTTTATTGGATTTAACACAAGCTTTCTCCTCTCCCTCGATCGCCCCCCCCCCCCCTCCCCAGTCAAACATAATAAGAGCAGGCAGTAGAATAATACGAGTATTAGTAGATTGATATATGGGAATAAGGAAAAGGGCACTAGCCAATAGACGTGTATCAATTCATATTCCACGCGAAAGATTAGAAGAAGCCACAAACGGGACCCCTTGTAATGGACCATGCACAGCTATCCTTGGGCTTCCGTTCTGATGTACGTGAGGCAATGGTGCCTTTTACAAAACACACACACACACACGCACGCACACACACATAAATAAAAGATATTAATAAATAATAAAAAAGAAAGAGAGAGAGAAAGCTCCTAGTAACAGAAAACTTGGGTCTAGAGTCAGTTTTCATCTAACACGAATGGTAGTCCTAGGAACGGAAGTCCGGCCTCCCATATGAGTAGGTACAGGTTAGGGTAAGTTGGCGCATTGGGGACAGAATACGGGACTTACGTCATCCGTACAAAGTGATGGGGTACGGACTACGGTTCTTAGCAGACTACCATTCCTGTCACACCGGTGCACTGAATAAAGCGGCCTATAACGAGTCCTCATTATTTTGCTGTAAAGAACAGGTTTATAAAGGTTTATATATATATATATATATATATATATATATATATATAAACATCAAGAGCCGAGTTAAGCCCCGTGTGCAATCTGCAGTCAACTTAGCTTCAATCGAAATGTGAGTAAATATTGGTATATGCAAAAAGAGGATTTATGTCAACTTTTTCGAAATTTTATATCCTGTATATATTTGATGTGCATCTTTAAAAAAGGTTTCAATAAAACTTAACTCACCTACACGCTGAAACACATTCGTGCTCAGCTGCCCTAGTGCAACGGGGGCGAAAACCCCGCCAAGGGTCCCTAAAACTCTCCCCGCGCTTGGGGGCAAAATGGGCTCATCGTCTTCATCGTGCCTGCCTACCGGGTCGATCAGAACGCTGGTTGAGTCTGATTTGTGCGACTTGCCAAAGGAGTCGTTTGTCCTGAGGTACCCATGACCGCTAGAGAACACGCCCGACGCGTTGGAGATAGTGTCGGGAGCCGTGGCTCCGCTGCAAAAATTGACGCTGTCCTCTGAGCCGTTGAGTTTTGAGTACGAGACGCCGTTGCCTACGCTGCCGTACTTCCCAGACATTTTGATGCTTTCTTTTTATAATTTTTTTTTTCTTTATTTGATCCCCTTTTCTTTTTCTTCCGCCTCCTTTCTTCTTTCTTTCCTTCCTTTCACAATTTGACTCTTTGTTCATATGTCTGTAAGAATATCCTGTTTACAACTGATGTGCTTGACCCTAATCCAGTATTATTATATAAGTGTACTAAGTATATCTAAGTGATGCCCCTGGTCACGCTGTAGATGTGTGCATTTTAATTGGTTTTCGGTTGATTTTCAACTAGACGGAGCCGCAAAAGCAACACCATTCAAAGGCTATCAATAGTACAAAAATCGATAACCGTTCAATATTCGATGCTGCTTGTCGAGTCAGTTCAATTCAAGATTAGATGAAGGTCTAGCTGCAGAAATCACGGACCTCCTGTTTTCAGTTGCAATCAGTAAACTAGCGTCCACCGAACTGATTTTAACTGAATTTTAACGGCGCCGTGGTCCTTTACTAAAACATTTGCCAAAGCAGAGAAATGACTGTCCATACAGTATGTAGGCCTACCCATGCGTGTTCCCAGCCGTTAGCCTTTTGTTTTGTGCTCATTGAAGTCACTGTCACAGTCAGAATCGAATCTGTTCCCAACGCTCAAACAGATGCACTTTTTCACTCTTTTCTCTGCAACTTTTGTCCACAGTTTATGTTGATGTCATGACGTTAGGCGTTGCGCGCCAGTCTAAGCCTTGGTGAATATGCAGCGCTGGCAAGGAAGCACGTTTAAACAGCTAGGCCTAGTGTCTCGTTTCAAGAACGCAGATCGACCTCGGCCTGTGATTGACAATGACGCAGAATGCAGCAGTAAGACTCCGGTCACGTCCTGTCAGCGGCTTTCCCCTCTAAATAGGCCTATACCCGTATTCGAGATGAAGATTACTGTTTTATGAATCAGTTAGGTTTTCAGGAAGTCTCGGGACACGACGGATACATGTAGCACAGTTTAGAGCCAGCAATTGTTGGTCGCAGTCAGGTACATGGAAATGGTAGACGCTAGTCTCAAATCTGACCTTCTACCCAAAGATACGCAAACCAACGGAAACAAATCTGCAAGGACCGACTAAGTACATTAGCAATCTAGTTAATATGGTGCATCCAATCTATTAGACGTTAAATATTAACTAGTCGGGTCTCCAAAATTATGCTAATATTTATCTTTTACCGCGTAATTCTGACTGCATGGTATGTCACGAGCATGCAACCAAACGGCAGGGTGATGAGTAACAATAACTGTAATTATCTTAATGATAGTGAAAACACCTGATATTCGCCTAAATATTTCATTTGGAATCCCTGAATTATTCACCTACCGGTTTAAGCAGGTAGTGCATTTCTATAAGCATGCCCTTTTGTCCCTTAATGCGCTATACTTCACATGTGACATATTTTCTAGTTATCTGTATTAAGCAGGTTCACCGCACGTGATGTTGAGGGGACGTTTGCTTAGATAAGGGCGTTCAGTTGGAGGGTCTGAGGTCACCGGGCACCTTCCACAGGAGAAGTGAATCGGTTAAAACTAAAATTTCTCAGTGAAATCACAGGGATTCTCGCACGCTTAAGGGAATCATTCGCTTTTTATACTAGTGTGCCAACGTTGAATTTGCTCTGCTTGCATGTCTTTTAGAGCTACCTGTCTTTCCAAATTTAGATCTTTGTAATGATTACCTCCCCCTCCCCCCCCCCAAAAAAAAGGAAAAAAAAAGAAAGATAATAACCTTTTTTAATTTCCTTCTGAAATGTACAGGAAGACATGGTCGTCTACTTAATTGGTCAACCATTCATAACTTACCTGTTTGATTATAAATGGCATAAAGGCTTGGATTGAAATGCTATTTTATCGAGCAAAATTTCTTTCCGGATTGGATACCTTTAACCTTTGGTGTATTTATGGCATGGCAGGTGCAAATCCTTACCGCGGAAGCATTGGACGGTGGCGCCACCAAGAGTTTTTTATTATGAACCTTTTTGTCAGTGCCTTCATAAATGATGATTATGTCTTTCTAATACAGATTATAAATAATAATAATAATAATAATAATAATAATAATAATAATAATAATAATAATAGTAGTAGTAGTAGATGTGGGAGTAAAAGATAATACAGAAATAATAAGCTGTCGCATCAAAATACATTGGAGTGATTTGCTAATTACTCGAGCTGAAGACGTTACAGCAAAGTTATTTTAATGAAAACTGTAACATCGATTTCAAGCAGATCTCCAATATCAACACAGTTCTTACGCCTACTTTATAACAATAATCCGGCGCCCGGGAATTTTCTCAGAAGTCTTACTTCTGATTTCATCAGCAAAGAGGCGAAATGATTTTTTTCATCAAACGAACATCGTTGTCATATCGATGTTATTATGAAAAACCGCTGGGTTGAAAGATTTAATAAAACGAAACAACGGGCTCAACGCTCCCAAACAAAAAATTAAAACCAAACACTGTTATGTGATAGTCCTCGTCGTCAACCACGCCTAATAATATAATGAAAGTACTTTAACGATACTTATCTACCGAGTTACGTCGGAAACAGGTCACTATCTCAAGCAATGAAATAGAAATTAACGATCAACGCTTGGCCATCCTATCTGCAGCAGCAAGTGGTGTGGTAATTAAAGCAACAGAAAAGCAAGTCTGTGTTCTTAAAAGGTTAATTTTTATTACAATAATATGACAAGTGAGATAAGTACATGTTACCGTACATTTATGTCACGTAAAAGAGTAAAAAGCTGCTTTGCCAAAACAGATTGAGGCCTTTATATTATAACGTATCGAAACTACGTAAATCGCATCATATATCAATTTGTATCATTGAAAGGAAGGAAGGAATGTACAATGGTAGTTATTACTTACAGCCACACTTTCTTACTGAAAACATTCACGAATTTTACCTGTTTTTTTCGAAGCTGGTTGTGAGGTGAGGTACATGTAGTAGTAGCACAGGGTGGCTTATGTTAAGAAAGGGAAAGTATTCGACAAAGATTCTATTGACCATTTATACCCCCCCTCAAGTCATTAATTCCAACCTTCCCTTCACAGTCTGCCTCACTAATGAGAATGGTCTATTTAAAGAGATACTTTGCACAGGTATGGTCTCACGAAAACCAACGCTTCTCACTGTTTCCAATCTCAAATTTCTAAGCAATCGTCAATAGGCCTACACATTACTGTGTCAAGACAATTTAACATTTTATATTATTAAAACTGAACACAACAGTCTGTTCAATAATGGTAATATTATATATGTGTAAACCATGAGCAAATTGAATAAAATTACGTGTATATAGCTTATAGACTATCTTTCATTACACTTCTTGTAGAATTCTAGGTACTTATCCCAAAAAATATGTGACAAAAATGCAAAAATCAATAACTCTAGTGAAAAATAATCCTTGAAGTTTCGAAAAGCCGCTGTTCATTTTTCGAGTAAAACGTTCATTTTATTTAGCGTGAGCCGTGTCGATGGACTCTCGTTTTATATGAGATACGAATAAAGATTTTTTTAATGTAATTAGTGATTTGATGTTTTTTCTCGTTAACTGGGATTATTACCCTACTCCCCTTGGGGACCACACAAAATACACGCAAAAACGTACAGTATATGAAAAAACATAAAGCGCGAGTGCATGAGAACGTACAGAACGCTTCATTAATCATCCGTGGCAGGTAACGACAGTCTTGTTAAGGTATTTCAATGACGCTGGCATTTTTCTTCTTGTGAAGGTACTCAAATGACGCTGGCTTTTTTCTATTCTTGTTGAGGTGTTCAAATGACGGTGGTTTGGAAATTTCTTGTCAAGCGATTCCAATTAGGGTGTTTTTGTATTTTCTTGTCGAATCATTCAAATAACGGTGGTTGTGTAACTTTTTTTTTTTGTGACGGTATTCTTCCACCTGACGTACTCACTTTATTTGTGACAGACAATCATTATCCGTGCATGTGCGTCAGTCGAAGCACTAATGAGTAAATAGGAAGACTGATGAAATGAACAGACAATGGGTCATTTTCTACAATATTTTTAGGAACGAAGAAAGATATATTAACAGATGAAAAGATAAGGATCAAGAGGTAAACGACTGAAAGAAAATAAAAATGAATCAAAGCGACTAGCAAACAATTAACTAACAGAGAACAAATGATATAAAATCCATAAATAATATATTCATGTATATCTCATTTTGATCAGTTTATGTTTGGAAAGTTATTGAACATAATTGAGTAAACTTTAAAGAAATCCGTCACTGGTTGCTGAAATGATACTTCCACAATAAAAATATCCTC